TTTAGGGGTCTAGGGGTTTAGGGTGCAGGGTTTCGGGTTTTGGGGTTTTCGGGTTTAGGGGTGTAGGGGTCTAGGGTGTAGGGGTTTCAGGTTTTCGGGTTTAGGCTTACAGAGGACTTTGGGGTGTGAGGGCAAAGGGTGTCAGGGAAAAGCGTTCTGGGCTTCGAGTTGTAGTGGGCTTCGGGCATGGTTCCTTGGGTAAGATATTGTTGATGATATAAATCCTGCATGACTTTAAGGACCCTAAACTATGGGAATTATGGTATACTCCTTATTGTGGGTAATGCTGGAGTTATATCATCAACCGTAGGTCTTCAATGGCAAGGCCAACGCTTCGATCGAACCGTTTTCGACGAAATCTAATGTAGGGGCCTTTATAATTAGAATAGGGTTTTTGGGGTTCCTTATTATAATTACAGTAGAATATACCCCCAAACCCTACACTAACTATTCAGGCTCCTATATTACTCCTTTTGCAAGCCGGCCTTTGACTTCCCCGAACTCCCTACCCTAAATCCCAGAACCTACACCCTGAACCTTAAAACCCCTGCAAGACAAGCCCCTGAAACCCTCAAGCCCCAAGCCCTAAAGCCTCGGTCTCCCTAAACCCTGAGCCCTGAACTTTAAACCCGAGCCCCCGCACCCCTTTTCTTTTGCGGTGGTGGAGGATTTAGGGTTGTTTACAGGGTTTAGGGCTTGCAGGGTTCAGGGTAAAAGAGCCCTCCTCCAAGCCTGAACAAGGCTCCATATGCTCTGGTGTGGAACAGAGGATGGCTTGCACGGTTTAGGGTTTAGGGTTTTTAGGGTTTAGGGTTTAGGGCGGCTAGAATCTCGCTTTGATTCTCCTCAAACCCCACAAGAGTTGTCAGCGCATCTTGCCCAAACTTTGGACATCGCCTGATACGTGCTGCAAGCCAAAGCTAGGAAGTCTCGCCAGTGTTTTTGCTGTTGTGGTCTAGGGTTTAGGGTTTAGGGGTTTAGGGTTTAGGTTTAGGGTCGCCATCGTCGTGATTGTGGACATAAGTTTCGTGTTCATGGCTTGTGCTCTGCTTCACGTGGTTCACGGCGATGCGTGATGTTCCGCAGCCGAGGCCCCAAAGGGAAATCACATCCTCGCAGGAAGCTGAGACACGACCGTGTGGTTTCTCTCATGATTATTGTTATGATTATAATGAGTACTATGGTTATGTTTGTCATAATGATTGTGATTAT